AGGTTTCAACTGGTACTGGTATTATTATACTCTGCAAACATCAAGTACAATAACGCGGTAAAACTCCACTACTCCAATAACTAGATACTTAAACAACAATACAATTCAACGAGATCTCCGATCTAATCTCGGTGCTGAACAACTCCCCCTATATATACCCACACTGTCTATAAATAGACCATTACATCAGCATACATAATGAGTCTGGAACTTACTACAAATTTCTAGAATGTTCCATTACCTTCTATTGCCTTCTACAGTGTCCTATTACCTATTCAACCAACTTCTAAAAATTCCACCCAGACACAGTACGGTTCTAGAACATTCTCAGTCACACGGAAGTGGTAAACAAGTCGTATGCGACACTATACATATTGTTCAATTTCTAATGATATCTTCAGTTCTTTAATTGAAATGTGTATCGCTAACAGCGGAGCTATCTCAGCCTTTATTATGCAATGTAACCAACGTTAGACAATAGATTTTTATTTCATTTTTTTGGGATATATGCCATTTTAAGAATCTACGTGAGGAACTCAAAGAGACTTTTCGAGCTTAGAATCTGCTCTTCCCAAATGCTGTCTATTATGTCATGCCAACAATGCCTAGGTATGATACTAGTAATATATTATTACGATCAAATATTGGCTGTACATTGGTTTGTGAATCAAAAAAAGTAAAATAGAAAATTCAGTGAGTCAATTTCAAAACCCCTCCAAAGATGCGTATACAGCAACATTACACATTTCGTAGCAACATTCTACATCTGACTTGCCAAGCGTGGCCGGGAGATCCCATTTCATTGGTTAGAAATTTTAAAGGATCAAGGTGGCATCTGGTGACATTTATGTATAATTAAATCAATAAATTTATGCCTTATTTTCTTTCTTGTGACATTCATGACATCCAATAATGTCTACATTCGCACAAATCAGAACGAATAATGAGATATTACTGGCATTGTACCTAAGCCATAGTGGTGTATTGTCAATTCGTAGGAATCTGCATAGTTCTACGTTTAATAGCAAACCTCCATTGATTGATGCAAAGTCATGCACTGTAACCTAGCAACAATTGTCATGGGCTAACAGATTGGCAGGTTTTACAGCCATATTTGTAGTACTACTAATCCAATAAAAACCCAAAGTTACATGTATTGTTACATGTATTGTTACAGTATTAAAATATGATGTATTACAACAATAAAGACACCTCTGTTGTTTACGTTAAAACTCATGCACAACCAGCAGAGTAAATGTTGTATCGCTATTATATGATTACAAATAAATATGATAATTGTATTTTCTTTTAGTAGAAGCATACATAAACCCAAACATGCATTTATTATAACTTATTGTGATCAGTAGACACACAAATACAGAATTTAAAAAAAAAATGGGCGGCATCATTTTTTCCCGAAACATTTTGCCACTTTTTACATAGTTTTTCGTTTTTTTGGACAAATGGTCATAATTTCCTATTGGCGAAATCTTTTACCGGTAATCAAAATTTTGGAGAAATTATGAAAAAAATTATGTGGGTAAGTTGACTTAAAAGGTTAAAATCTATCTCCACTATATTGTTCAGCTTTGACAAATCTCTAAAAAACAACATACATAGGATTAAAGGTTGTGTGATTATCGGTTCAGCCCTCCTCCAGTAGTAGTTGAAAATAATCTCAGCTGCGTTGAACAGGAAGTGCAGTTTTTCTCCATTGAGGGAATTAGAATCTGTTATAACAAATTTCTTATAATCTCCACTTGAGGCAATCAATTATTTTTATTTGTTACCCACAGGGATTCCTAGAGGCCTACTCATTGTGTCTATTTTATTGTATGCACATCTTCGGGAAGTTAAAAAATCAAATTATTTTACCAATTACGAAAAAAGGTTTCTTTAAAAAAAAAAAAGAAACAATAATTGGTTTGAAGAATGATCAATATTAGAATGAATAAAATCGACGAAAAGTACAATAGTGTCCATGATCGGTATAATGACTCCTCCACCCCTGAGAATGAGTAGTTTGGTCCGAAAGATTAGTGTAGGTAATTTACTGGTTCAAAGAAAGGATTTGATTTCCATTTTGTTTATTAACAATTCCCAAATGCAGTGTTTTTTATGTCAATAATTTTTATCAGTGATTATGGTCCGTTGCGTGCAAACCCATAGGGGTTGTTATTATTTAATGCTTTTAATCTTTTAGCGCTGACGGGCTTCACGCTAACCATGCCATCTGTCTCACGAATACGTAAAAAGTAATCAAAACAGATATTATATAAAACATCCACTGAGTTTTGTCATATTACAATTCAGATATTTGCTATTTTATGATTATGAATTTTTGGTTTTCAATCATTCCACTTTTTCAAGGATCCACGAAATTATGCAGCTGAAAAAATTCATTTTAAAAATTATTGCTCATGTGTCCGTAAGTAAAACCTTTTCATGATGAGTGAACCGATGTGAAACTGATGCGGTGATTATGAGTCTAGTTGCTTTTGATTTTTATTCCATTATATGTGAAATGTTATATT